ATATCTTATAGATATGAAAGGAGAAGATTGGGAAAGGTTCCATAGAGGGTAAAAACATAGGCTTTCAAATCAAATTGGACTGATTCAACTCCTGGTTAGTCACTTACAGCTATGTTATCTTTGGTAAGTTATTTACTTTTTCAAAAGCACACTCCCTTGTGTGCAAAACGGAGATAATTACACCTCTCTTGTAGGGTCATGAGGATTAAATTAAATGATGTATAGCATATAAAAAGCTTATCCAGGGTCTATACACAGTACTCTATGAAGAAGCAATCATAGTAGTGGCAATTGTTAATATTTATTGAACATTTGCTCTTAGAAAGTAAAAATAGCAGTAATGTTTGCACTGGGCCTGAGAAGGAGATTAGGTTTTGAATGGGCAGAGAAAAGGTGGTTAGAAATTCTAGATAAAGAAGTGACATAATTGAAGTCATGGCATCTTAATCATTTTCTTGTTCTGAGACACAATACACAACACCCACAACTTAAAAGAGGAGAGATTTATTTTGGCTCACGCTTTTCAGTCCATGGTCAGCTGGCACCAAGGATGGCAGAGGGAACAGCAGAAGAAAAGCTGCTCATGTAGTGATTCATGACACTCCCAGCCATGAGCAGGGAGTGAAGGGGAGGGGCCAGAGAGGGAGACACACCCACCTAATCATGCCCCCAGCCCCCGACCAGGGCCCCCCTCCTAACAGCAAGTCATCTGTAGCACCCCATAATCTAGTCACCCTCACAAGTCCCTCTATAAGGTGGTCTTGGGGGACATTCTCAATCAAAACCATAACACTTGGGAACTTAGAAGAAGTTCCTGAGGATCAGCAAGCACTCTAGTTGTGGGGGAACAGCACACGGTAGGGGCAGATGTAGATGAAGGGGGGGTGCTGGCCACTGCTATAAGAACTCTAGGCTTCATTGGGGGTTTGGAGCTCACTTCTCTACACCTGTTTCCCCAACTCCTCACCCTGGGGAAGAAGCACCATTTTATAATGTAAAAATATTCTGCAGATCAAACTACTAGAAAGGCAGGCTGCCACGTTCTTTGGGAAGAATATTTTAGCAGTAGGAATGAAAATCCTTTACAGTGGGCATAGCTCAACCTAGTGATTTCGCTTTTAGGAACCTACCATAAGAAACCCATCAGCACCATTTGGAAAGATTTGTGTGAAAGGAATTCTTAAGGCCAAAGCTTAGAAAGGACCTAAGTGTCCAACAATGCAGGACAGGTCAAACTGTTCCAGAACTCAGGTTAGGCAAGCTCACCAACCAGTGCCTGAGAGATGGATATTAGGGGGAAAGAAAATAGACTTTATTGAGGATGCTGATAACTTGGAAGGAAGCAGACATTTCAGTGTCTCAAGTACCACTTTCTCAGTATCTGGGGATGTAGGGGTAGTTAAATGAGTACTAGGTAAGGGCTACCTGCGGAAATCAGCATTTCCCAGAAGCAGGAGTCAGTCCGGCACCCACTGGCCATAGAGACCTTCTTTTGATGGTAGCATTGTCTTATCTTGAGGACAGGATATTCCCATTTTGGACCAATTCGTATGGTCAGCAGCAGGTAGCTGGAGTCAGCTCAGAAAAATAAGCAAGTTCACAGGCTTGCAAGACAAAGGCCATAGTCTGAGGATGAGTAAGGGGACTGGAATAGATAGAGAAAGGCTATTTGCCTGACAACAGATATAACCTGTTCGACAGCTCCAATCAGAGGTGTCACCTATAGGAAAATGAGTTGGAGACTAAGAGTAGTTCAGCCACTTGACTTCTGCAAGCAGTACTTTTTTAAATTAATTAAAAGTAAGTGAAGCTAGAGGATTTATTTAGGTTTCCCCTCAATTACAAAACAATATTGCCTTTAAGCAGGAGCCTACCATTTAGTCATTAAGAATCATAGTCTTGACGATTGTATAGTGAATAGAAACATGGTCATGATTTAATTTTAAGCAGAAAGGGTAGGATGCAAAACTGTGCGATGTAGTCCCAATTTTCTAAGAAAAAACAGGAAAGGGTATGGGAGAGACAGAGAAAGAACCAGAGGCTCTTAATATCACCCATCTGAGGCATAGAATTGCACATGTGATTTGCATTGGAAGAAGGACGAGGTCCCAGAAAGCAATTTGGGAGGGAAAGAACTCGGGCTAGAAACAATATATTTGGGTCAATCAGAGCGAGGGCCCTGGGTGAGGCAGAGCGTCCTTAGAAAGGGTTCAGGGTAACCCAGAGGGGATGGGAGATGCTCTGCGGACACCCAGGAGGCCTCTGGGATGGAGGGAATTCTGTAGAGGAGCAGAGGCTTCAAGCCAGTCCACCAGGGGTGGAAATACTGGCTTGACCTCTTTTGGCTGCTTCGGTAGGCTCTGAGGACTAGAATGTCTGAGCCTGTGTATGAATGTTTAGCAAAAAGGAGACAGAACTTGTTATTTTTAAATCATCCCTGAATCCTCTCTGTCACTTGTGCCTACGCCCTTCCTGCCCATTCACTACACACACACCCCACATTCTCACCTGCACCCCTCTGTGCATGCGAATGAAAACCCTGGCCTTTGCTAGGGTCCCGTCATACAGGGCACAAGAAGAAATTAGGGTGCCCAGGGCCTGATGTGAGCGGCTCACATCCACCCAGAACGCTGTCCACAGTCAGCAAACCCTGGCTGGCTGGGTCTCCAGGCTCTTCCTGCCTTTTTGCACTAACAAAAATCACCTTACTTTGTTGACTTTGCCACTACTGCTCCAAGGGGAACATAGCAGCATGTACAGCCTGTGCGATGTCCCATTTCACTACATGGTGAGGTCCCAGTATACCTGTTTGCCCTGCCACAGTAGTGCCCTTTATTATATTTTACATAGGCATTTGATTTAATCCCTTAGATCAACAATGGGTTTGTTTTCTAATAAAGGAAAAGAGAATGAGTTTTATCAAACTTGACCAGACTGAGGACAGTTTACCTCGGGGGTGCCCTGAAGGATCAGTGTGGAAAAGAAGTATCAAAGGGACCCCTGGGTATCAGCGATGCTGTCTGTGTCTTAGCCTGGGTGCTGGTATCATGAATTTCACTTTGGGAAAATTTATCAAGCTTTTCATAGGATTTACACTTTCTTCCCACACTGCTCCCTGCCTGGACCCCACACACTCCTCGGGCCTGGCTCCATCATATGCTGCCCTCCCCTGGGAAACTTCTTGTGACACCCTTCCCTCAAATGAGGTGAGAGTTCCCTGCTCTGGATGGAGACTCGCTGAACCCACCAGCCCTGGGCCGGGTGAGACTGACAGTTTTGCGGCCGTTGGTTGTTTGTGTTGTGTTGTGTCTTATTACTCTAAGTGACATATCTTGCTGTGTCCACCAGAGTCACTGCCCAGTGCCTGAGCCCAGTACGATGCCTGACACTAGGAAGTGGTTTGTAAAGGAAGAATGGAGGAGAAGAGAAGGAGGCAGGTAGAACAGAGGGGGCTGGAGGAGAAGAAGAGAAGGAGGAGGAGGAGAAAGAAGGCAGGAGGAGCTGTGCCTCTGAAGTTCTGGGTATTCTGAGGCCCAGCTAGAGGTAGGGGCAGGGAAGACTCAGGGCTGCATTTTCTTGAGTGAGTAGTCTCTTGATAGATCTTTCTAAGCGAAGGTACATTGCTTCAAGGACTGTGGCCTAGGTTCCTAGGGGAGAGTGGGGACTCTGAACATAGTCTGTCTCCAGTTCCCTTCTAGCTCAGAGGAGGGTACAAGGAAAAGCTATTTCTCTGTCACTTCCACAGGACACAGGGGCTGAGATGTCAGTCCATGGATGCAGGGAGCAACCGGAAGGGATGATCTGACTCTGCAGAGGAAAGGTGGGTATGGCCAGGGCACTGAGATGATGACATCCAGGATCAGCACTCGAGGAAGTCCTGCATGGGTGGTCCTACCCTGTCTGTATGTGGGTTAGACGCAGGAAGTGATGGTGGAGGCTTCCTGTCAGGGAAGGAGACAGAGCCTCCGTGGGAAGGGATGGCCATGTTGGGTCCAGCACAGGAACCAAAGGGATACATCTCAGAGCAGCTTGTTAAGGGAGGGGCACCCCAGAGTTCCTTCAGAGCAGAAGTCCAACTGAGAGTTTACTGTTAGGTGTCACCTGGTTTATAGCCCCAGGCTGGAATCTTCTGGAAAACACAAGCAGCTGCCCAGTTTTAAAGAGAACATATGAATGAGGAGAAGGATACTAAAGAGACAAAGAAGCCAAAGAGGCAAACAGCCCCTTGGACTTGCAAACAGATCTTCCTCATAGTCCACGCTCCTGGGACATTCTTACAGTACCGTTATCTCCAAGATGACCTGTCCTCTAGCACCAAACACTCCATCAGGAGACATTTATTTAATTCCCTTCGAACTCAGTATTCTCCAAGACTACTCTAGGGACCACGGCTCCTGCTCTTGGGGGAAAATATTTTGTGATGCAAAAGATGATAAAACCATCATTAATAGGCCATCAAACTTTCAGTTATTTCCCTTGAGGCATCATCTTAATATAGGCCCATGTGGGTGGGGCTTTCTAAAGGATTTTCTCACTATGTCTTCTGAAATGATGGTTTTCAAACATTTGTGATTGCATACCCTCTTAGTAAAATTATTTTGAGCATGAAAATATATGCATATTCATTAACTGCTTTTATATAATAGTGTGTGTGCTGTTTGGTGTATTTATAATGAAAATTCTGAGTGTAGCCCCAGGTATCCCACTAAACAAGTATCAGGTGGACGGGGCACGCATCATAAGCTTCTCTTCACAGATTAGTAAACTAACACTCAGAGAAGGGACTTGGCCGGATCATAAAGCCAGAACTTGTAGAACCAGCATTGAGACCCACTTCCAATCAAGCCAAGGTCTCCCCACCCCACCCACTCCCACTGTGCTGTCTCCCAAGGTGATTGGAGCCATTTCTCATGGGTGCTTGGATTTTTCCTTCTGTAATCCAATTCCCATCTCTTCCCACTCATCCCAGCTTGGATTTGGACCACTCAGAGAGGCGTGATGATTTCCCCATTCTTCCTGCTTAGCTGATTGCATCATTATCTCCTTCAGCTGAAGGTGAACCATATTACTGGGGTTCTAGACTCAGGGAGCATGGGCTTTGCCTGCCTCTTCTGGTTTTCCCCAACCTGTTAAGCAGGAATGATGCAGAGACCATCTCCAGGTCTCACCCTCCCGAGGTTAATCTGTTCTGAAATTTATTTGTAAAAAAGAAGATGCTGATTCCCAAACAGAAAAGGCAGGGGATAGGATTTTCCTTGAGTAACCATCCTTGATGAGGAAGACATGGCAGTGTGCTTCCAGGAGGAGAAGGAGGCATGGAGGAAGGTTGCTTCCTAAATAGCTTCTTGGTACTTCCTCTGTGCTTCTAGAACGCTTTTGTAAAAACACCATTTCCCTGAAGCAGAATAAAGATGAAGAAATGGACATATTTGGAAACAATGAAAACCACAACCAAGGCAGCCAAGCAATCAATGGCTAGGGTTGTCCAGGAGGGAGGTGGGGTCAGGTAGGGTCCATGTCGGGGGGGTGGATCTGAGAGATCTTACTGTTCAATGGTAGGATCTTTTCATATTTTTATACTTTCACGTTCTCTCCCTCCCCACTTCCTCCCCACTTCTCATGCCAGGGCCAAACACTGGAGTCACTGTTTAACGAAGGTGGAGTCCCCAGCACCTGGTGTGCCCATATAAGGAAGAGCCTGAGGGGTGGAAGTCAGCAGCTGCTGGCACTGCATTTGCTCCACAGTTGCTCCAGGGAGACTGTGCTGTCCTCCGCCGTCCCCTCTGCCACTCCATCCTGCAGATTGCTGGTGCTGAACCTTCAGGACCAGCTGAGTGCCAGCACAGCCTCTTGCAAGGACACTGCTGAGCAGCGCTCCATCAGATATACCTGTACAGGACACAGGTAAGGTGTGAGTGGAGGTTTCTCTGGGCTCCGGAATGAGATGGTCCTCCAGACATGAGTGACCTTCCAAACTTTCCAGGGAGCTGCTTCATGGTGCAGATTTTGAGTCTCCACACTACAGAAATAATTTGGTGGCTCTGCAAACTGGGTATTTCTGATTTAAGTAGTCCAAGGAGATGCTTCAAGAAGAACAAGGACGAAAAGTATATTGACTTTCTAAGAGAAGCCTTTCAAAAGTTGACCAGTTCATACAAATGGAGGATTTATCAATCACCAAATCACCTTTGCTTCCTGCTCATTCAGAGTCCCAACCTTGAGAGCATTTTGACCATGAGGGATTCTCTGATGGCAGGAATCATGTCTTCTGTGTTCACTGATGTCTAGAGTTGAATGCATAGTAGGTGTTTTAAAAATATTGCTAAAAGGAAGAAATGAGCCCAGGCCCTGTGTTTTCTAACAATCTGGTGTAGTAATCACATACATGAACGAAGGTGAAAAATCTGGGCTAATCACAAAAGGCAGATCACTGCCACTTCTGAAACTCAGATGGTTCCCACATCTCTGTAGCTGCACCCCTATTACATACTGTACCTGGCTGTGCATTTGCTAAAGTTGCATCTTTTTTGACTGAGGAACAGCTGGTAAAAAAATTTTTCCCGCATTGTGGATTGTCTCTTAGTTCTGCTGATGGTTTCTTTTGAAGTACAGAAGCTTTTTAGTAAGATGAGATCCCAGTTGTTGATTCTATCTGCTAGTTCCCGTGCTACTGAGGATTTGTTCATAAAGTCTTTTCCTATACCAATGTCTTCCAGAGTTCTGCCTAACTTACCTTCCAGCAAGTTTGATGTTTCTGATTTAATATTTAGATCTTTAATCCATTTGGATTTTAATTTAGTGCATGGCAAAAGATAAGGGTCTAATTTTAATCTGTGGCAGGTTGACATCCAGTTTTTCCAACACCATTTATTAAAGAGGCTATCTTTCCTCCACTGAGGATGGTGAGCTCCTTTGTCAAAGATGAGGTAGCTGAGTACATCTGCATTTGTTTTTGTGTCTTCCAGTCTGTTCCACTGATCCTCAGGCCTATTTCTTTGTCAGTACCATGCTGTATTTATCACAGTGGCTTTGTAGTATAGTTTCAAATTGGGAATTGTTACACCTGGTGCCATGTGTCTGTTGCCTAAAATGGCTTTTTCTATTCTAGGTCTCTTATGGTTCCAAATGAATTTTTGGATTTTTTTTTCTAGTTCTGTGAAATATAGTGTTGGAATTTCAATTGGCATTGCATTGAATGTCTATAGCAGTTTTGGTAGTATGGCCATGTTCACTATGTTGATTCTTCCTACCCAGGAGCAGGGGATATCTTTCCATTTTTTTATATCCTCTTCAATTTCTTTTTTCAGAGTGCTGTAGTTTTCAGTGTAGAGATCTTTTGTTTCTTTTGTTAGATTGATTCCTAGATACTTCTTTTTTTTGGATGCTATTGTAAAAGGAATTTTTTCCCTTATTTCTCTTTCCGTGTGTCTGTTATTTGTGTATAAGAAGGCTATTGATTTTTGGATATTCACCTTGTATCCAGATACTCCACTGAATCTGTCAATTAAGTCTAGAAGTTTTTTGGTGGAGTTTTTTGGATCTTCAATGTAGAGTGTCATATCATCAGCAAATAAAGACAGTTTAACTTCTTCCTTTCCTATCTTTATTGCTTTAATTTCTTTCTCTTGTCTAATTGCTGTGGCTAATGTTTCTAGAACTATATTGAAGAGAAGTGGTGATAATGGGCATCCTTGTCTTGTTCATGATTTTAACATGAAGGTTTTCAGTTTTTTGAGATGTGATGCTGTTCTCAGGGAGACAGTTTTAGCTGTTTAGTTTGAAACCATGCTAACCACATTAGAGCAAGTGCAGATGTCTTCCTTCTGTGGTTACAGTGGAGTCGCTGACCTGGGCTACAAGCAGAACTTTGCTTCTGCCCCACAGGCACTAACTGGGTCTTCCATCAGCATTTCCTCTTGATTGCCTCAGCTTGACCTTCCTGATCATGGAGGGGGAAAGTGCATTAGAGCTGTAGGAGGTCCACTGATCAGTACCTTGGCTGATGAGAATATAATGACCTAGCAATTGTGTAATAGGCAACAGTGATACGTAGCACAACCTCATTAATCCTAATTTGTACATGGAAAAAGTGACTGGCTGTTAAGCTTATACCGGACACAAATGTGACCTAGAGTCCTATTGTACCTCTTCTTGTCCCACCTCCTGTTACTTGGTTATATGTGGTTACTTGCTTGAAAGAACATCTTAGAAGAAAAAAGTGTTATCAGGAAATACACAAATTAATGATCTTCATAATGGCATTGAGGGTGTGCTCTGTTCTTTTTAAAATTAATTTTATTGGTATATTTAAGGTATGCAATGTAAAGGCATTCATCATTGGAGATTTGTACCTTTACATAATAGATCTTGATTTTTATTTTTCCCCCTTCCCTTGCCTCCCTTCAACCCCTCCACCTCTCCCTATTTACAAAGACTTTGTTGCGATTTTTTTTCATTTTCTCACATTAATTCCATTTCCTTCCTCTTCCCTCCCCCTCCCCCTCCCCCTTCCCCTTTGCACCTTTTCTTCCTATTTCACATTATCTATTATACATTTCCAGTTTTTCATGCCAGAGCAACTATTTGGTATTTATACATGTGTGGCCTATTAAACTTAAGAATATCACCTCAATGTGTGTCCATTTAGCTATAAATGCCTCTAATTTCTCATTCTTTGTGGCTGAGTAGTACTCTATTTTATTTTTTTTAAACCACATTTTTTTATCCAGTCTCCTGTTGATGGGCAGTTGGGCTGTTTCCATGTCTTAGCTATTACAAACTGTGCTACTATGAACATGGGTGCACATATATCACTGTGGTATGACTCTCTTAATTCTTTTGGGAAGATACTCAGCAGAGGACTATCTGGGTCAAATGGGACTTCCACTCCTAGTTCTTTGAGATATCTCCATACCGATTTCCACCATGGTTGCACTAGTCTACAGTCCCACCAACAGTGGAAAAGGGTTCCTTTTTCCCCACATCCCTACCAGCATTTGTTATTGGTTGATTTCATGATAGTAACCATTCTTTATACAGTGAGGTAGAATTTCAGCATTTTTTTTCACTTGCATCTCTCAAATGACCAATGATATTGAACATTTTTTTCATATATTTATTTGCTACTTCTACTTCTTTGTCTGAGAAATGTCTGCTCATGTCAGATGCCCATTTTTGGATTGGGTCTTTAAATTTGGGAGGTCTGATTTTTTTAAATTCTTTTTTTTGGTGGGGAGTACTGGCGATTGAACTCAGGTCCTTGCGCTTGCAAGGTAGGCCACCGAACTGCTGAGCTAAATCCCCGGCCCTTAAATTCTTTATATATTCTAGATAGTAGACCTTTGAGAAACAGCTTGTAAAACTTTTTTCCTACATTGTGAGTTGTCTCTTCACACTGTTAGTAGTTTCCCTTGCTGTGTAGAAGCTTTTTAATAAGAAGAGATCCCACTTGTTTGTGCTAGTTCATGTGCAACTGAGGTTTTGCTCATGAGATCTTTTCCTATGCCAGCATCTTCAAGAGTTCTACCTAACCTCTCTTCCAGCCAGTTTAATGTTTCTGCTTTAATATTTAGACCTTTAATCCATTTCAATTTTAGTTTAGTGCATGGTGAGAGATATAAGTCTAGTTTTAATCTTTGGCAAGTTGAAACCCAATTTTTTCAGTACCATTTGTTATAGAAGCTATCTTTCATCCAGTGAGGGTATTTGGCTCCTTTGTTGAAGATGAGTTGGCTGAGTGTGTCTGGAGTTGTATCTGCATCTTCTAATCTGTTCCACTGGTCCTCAGGTCTGTTTGCTTTGCCAGTACCATGCCTTTTTATCATAGTAGCTTTGTAATATAGTTTCTTCTTCTTCTTCTTCTTCCTCCTCCTCCTCCTCCTCCTCCTCCCCCTCCTC